ATGTAGGGTTTATCAAAAATTTTCTAAGAACAAAAATGTCTCAGAATTGGTCAAAGAATATTATCAAATTTTTTCAGATTTTTTGATGAAATTTTTCAAAATATCGATTTTACGATTTTTCAAAAAATCGAAAATCGCTTCGGAACATTCTGAAAAAATTTGAGAGTACTCTTTGACCAATTCTAAGACATTTTTGTTCTCAGAAAATTTTTGATAAAGTCTATCGTTTTCGAGGAAAAAATTCGTAAAGTTTTGAAAAAAAAATTTTCAATTAGGCCGCCATTTTGTTTTAGTAACAATTTTTTAGACCTTACTAACTTTATTTATTTTAAGTTCAGACATCGAGGCCACGATCTGAATAGGTTTAAGTCATAAAAAAAAATGAAAAGGGAACGAAAAGTCATTACAAAAAAAAATGCAAGCGAAAAATGACGTTTCTTTGGATTAATTTTAATTTTTCCATGGTCAAATATTTTTTAAGAATTTTTTAACCATCACCATTTGAGAGAGCACCCTCAAAAACATAGGAAAAGGTAGTTTGGAACTTTGTTTTTCTCAAATTCATTGAACGGCATCAACTCGAACTTCAATGTCGAAATTCTGTCCTGTGGGCGTTAATGGGTTAATTCGTGATGTCTCAGGCCACTGAGTTCTGTATCGGCAAGTTGCGTATTTTTTTAATACACTTACCATTGTTCTTATACGGGTATTTTTGCTATTATCTCGGTTGGTATACAGTGAGTTGACGAACGGTGGCGCCTTCTATTCCGAATTGGCTGGATGTCGAACTTCGCGTTGTTACTGGCTTCTCTTCCGTTCACACAGATATCGCTGTTACAAATTCACTCACTGTATCTCGGTATAAGACTTTATCTGATATAACACTCGATAACTGGAGAGAATTATAACCGGAAGCTTCGGAGTAATAAGTACCAGGGAGCTTGCTTCGGAAGTACTGGGAGCTGCGTCCGTATCCGGCAAGCTCCGTTATCAGACTAAAATGCAAGGTGCACTGCGGGAGGCACGTAAACGCACGGAGCATGCGCTATCCTCAGGCTAACCCGGGGATTATTGTTTTTATGTATTCTGCCATATGTACTCGTGTCCGGGGGGTATATAGTACTCCCTCTACTACCATTCTCCTCTCTTCCCTCTTCCCTCTTTCCTTTTCCCTCTTCCATGTTTTCTCTTCCCTCTTCCATCTTCTCTCTTCCCTCTTCCCTCTTCGATTTCCCCTTTTTCTTCTTTCATTTTCCACCCTCTCTTATCCCTCTTCGATTTCCCTTCTTCCGTTTCCCTGTATCATCTTCCCTGATACTCCGCCCATTACCACTTTTCCATCCTCCCTCTTCCCTCTTCCCTCTACTCTTTTCCACCCTCTTCTACTCTTTTCCATCCTCCCTCATCCCTCTTCCCTGTTTCCCTATAACCTCTTCTCTATATGGTACTACCTCCACTACCATTCTCCTATCTTCCTTCTTCCCTTTTCCATGTTTCCTCTTCCCTCGTCGCTCTTCCATCTTCCCCCTTTTCTCTTCCATCCTCCTTCCCCTTTCCTTCTGTCTGCTTCCCTGTATGATACTCTCTCCACCATCACTCTGCCCTCTTTCCTCTTCCCTATGTGTCTTCTTCTCCCTTCTCTCTAAACAGCCGCAAATTTTCCTCTTGCAAATTCTTTTTTCTTCACGGTTGCACTGACCTGTGTGGCCTGGTGGACCTGTCAATTGTCTGCCGGACCTGTCGTTGTTTCAAAAAGACATGGAACAATTGACGCATTTACAAAAAATAAAGAAATGACGGAGTGGGTATTTAGGTCCATTATAATTTAACAAATAATTACAGCTTAATTAATCATTAATTCAACGTTTGGAATTACTTCAACTTCCGGGTCGATTTTCGAAAGCTACCTCTACTTGCTTCCCCTTACTTCATATGCGTGGCAGACTACATTAATGGCTGTCGCTGCGCCTTAGGCTCGTCTCGACATCGTAACATCTATGGGGTACTTAGCAATAATTTAGAAACAGTTTTAGAAATAAATTTATGAGAACAACTCGATATGCAATTTTTTTATAGGCTATTAATTAATAATATTACTATAATTATAAAATAGTAATATATTTATACGTCATGAGATACCATTGCCGATACGTTTTGTTAAATGGTATCCCCTCTAAGTCTATTCCTTTCTCTCTCTCTCTCTCTCTCTATATATATATATATATATATATATATATATATATATATATAACATAATAATATTTATATAATATAATATTATTTACATGTAATAATATTATTTATATAATAATATTATATAAATATATTATATAATATTATTATATTAATAGCCTATAAAAAAATTGCATATCGAGTTGTTTCCGTAAATTTTTTTCAACAAATTTTTCAACAATTGTCGAGTGCCTCATAGATGTTACGAGCCTGATGTAGACGAACCTGAGACAACGCGTTGCGGCTGTCAGTCGCGTGGTGCGCTGTAATCGTCAGTCGCGTGGTCTGTCTCGCGGGCTAAAGAGGCAAAGGGAAACGAATAGGGGAATAGAAATAGCTTTCGAAAATTTCGGCACGAAAATTCAAGTAATTCCGAGCGCTATTATAATTGATCGCTAACCTGTACATGTACTAATTAATCCTATAAAATAGGAGACATACAATAACGGTTCATAAGATTATAAATTATGTTTTTGCTAATTATGCGTCCGCATCCATCATTACAAATCTGTGCCCCAAATAAAACGAATCTTAACAATTCACAATTGCAAATATCATTCTTAGAATTAAGTGCGTGTATACAATGTAAATCTCGTGTAAATCAAATGTAAATTATGTTATATTTTTCACCCAGATTACACCGATGACAAAATAAATATGAGAGGAAATTTAAATATGAGAGGAAACATATTTCGTGAGGAAATTAACTGACGATAATTCTTAACCGGTCATTCATTGATGTATCTACCCCTGTCTCGCGCGCCATTAGCGGCGCATAATGACTCTCGCGATTCCGCGCGCGCATGGCCCTCGATGCTGCCTACGTGAGGACTATATTGTATTGTTATTTGTTGGGTTAAGTACCTTGTTGCTTCCAGATCAAGTATTCACGCCGCGCACTTTCTTACCTCGTGCATAGGACGCGAAGCGGGTCTCTTTCGCTCATTGTTGCCGGTCGCCGCAGATAGATCATTTTATTATTGAGATAGCGACGACACGGCAAGAGGCTCCCGTGCACGTGAACTCACTCCTGCGCGCGATTCCGAAGATACAGTGAGTGAATTTATAACAGTGACTTCTGTGTGAACGGAAAAGAAGCCAGTAACAACGCGAAGTTCGACATCCAGCCAATTCGGAATAGAAGGCGCCACCGTTCGTCAACTCACTGTATACCAACCGAGATAATAGCAAAAATACCCGTACAAGAACAATGGTAAGTGTATTAAAAAAATACGCAACTTGCCGACACAGAACTCAGTGGCCTGAGACATCACGAATTAATAAACGTGTACGTTTGGAGTAGGCGAAAAGATATCAACACTGGACGTTACGTCAATAGGTATCAGCGGACTGAGCATCTCCCAAGAAAATATGCCCCAAACTACCACATTTCCGTCAGAGAATCGTGGATCATCGTTGCACCGCGATTTAAATACTTTTTGCCTGATGCGACATTTTTCCAGTCATCTACAGTCGGCAAATTGCGTATTTTTTTAATACATTTACCATTGTTCTTGTACAGGTATGTATGCTATTATCTCGGTTGGTATACAGTGAGTTGACGAACGGTGGCGCCTTCTATTCCGAATTGGCTGGATGTCGAACTTCGCGTTGTTACTGGCTTCTCTTCCGTTCACACAGATGTCACTGTTATAAATTCACTCCCTGTATCTTCGGAATCACGCGCAGGAGTGTGTTCACGTGCACGGGAGCCTCTTGCCGTGTCGTCGCTATCTCGATAATAAAATGATCTATCTGCGGCGAGCGGCAACAATGAGCGAAAGATGTATTCCGAAGATACAGTGACTAAATTTATAACAGTGACATCTGTGTGAACGGAAGAGTAGCGAGTAACAACGCGAATTTCGACATCCAGCCAATTAGGAATAGAAGGCGCCACCGTTCGTCAACTCACTGTATACCAACCGAGATAATAGCAAAAATACCCGTACAAGAACAATGGTAAGTGTATTAAAAAAATACGCAACTTGCCGACACAGAACTCAGTGGCCTGAGACATCACGAATTAATAAACGTGTACGTTTGGAGTAGGCGAAAAGATATCAACACTGGACGTTACGTCAATAGGTATCAGCGGACCGAGCATCTCCCAAGAAAATATGCCCCAAACTACCACATTTCCGTCAGAGAATCGTGGATCATCGTTGCACCGCGATTTAAATACTTTTTGCCTGACCATGCGACATTTTTCCAGTCATCTACAGTCGGCAAATTGTGTATTTCTTTAATACATTTACCATTGTTCTTGTACGGGTATGTTTGCTATTATCTCGGTTGGTATACAGTGAGTTGACGAACAGTGGCGCCTTCTATTCCGAATTGGCTGGATGTCGAACTTCGCGTTGTTACTGGCTTCTCTTCCGTTCACACAGATGTCACTGTTATAAATTCACTCCCTGTATCTTCGGAATCACGCGCAGGAGTGTGTTCACGTGCACGGGAGCCTCTTGCCGTGTCGTCGCTATCTCGATAATAAAATGATCTATCTGCGGCGAGCGGCAACAATGAGCGAAAGAGGTATTCCGAAGATACAGTGAGTGAATTTATAACAGTGACATCTGTGTGAACGGAAGAGAAGCGAGTAACAACGCGAATTTCGACATCCAGCCAATTCGGAATAGAAGGCGCCACCGTTCGTCAACTCACTGTATACCAACCGAAATAGTAGCAAACATACCCGTACAAGAACAATGGTAAATGTATTAAAACAATATGCAACTTGCCGACAGTAGATGACTGGAAAAATGTCGCATGGTCAGGCAAAAAAAGTATTTTAATCGCGGTGCAACGATGATCCACGATTCTCTGACGGAAATGTGGTAGTTTGAGGCATATTTTCTTGGGAGATGCTCGGTCCGCTGATACATATTGACGTAACGTCCAGAGTTGATATCTTTTCGCCTACTCCAAACGTACACGTTTATTAATTCGTGATGTCTCAGGCCACTGAGTTCTATGTCGGCAAGTTGCGTATTTTTTTAATACACTCACCATTGTTCTTGTACGGGTATTTTTGCTATTATCTCTGTTGGTATACAGTGAGTTGACGAACGGTGGCGCCTTCTATTCCGAATTGGCTGGATGTCGAACTTCGCGTTGTTACTGGCTTCTCTTCCGTTCACACAGATGTCACTGTTATAAATTTACTCACTGTATCTTCGGAATCGCGCGCAGGAATGTGTTCACGTGCACGGGAGGAGCCTCTTGCCGTGTCGTCGCTATCTCGATAATAAAATGATCTATTTGCGGCGAGCGGCAACAATGAGCGAAAGAGACACGCTTCTCGTCCTGTGCACGAGGTAAGAAAGTGCGCGGCGTGAATAGCTGGTCTGGAAGCAACAAGGTACTTAACCCAACAAATAACAATACGATATAGTCCTCACGTAGGCAGCATCGAGGGCCATGCGCGCGCGGAATCGCGAGGGTCATTATTTGTAATGATGGATGCGGACGCATAATTAGGAAGAACATAATTTAAAATCTTATGAACCGTTATTGTATGGATCAATAGTCTCCTATTTTACAGGATCAATTAGTACATGTACAGGTTAGCGATCAATTATAATAGCGCTCGGAATTACTTGAATTTTCGCGCCGAAATTTTCGAAAGCTGTTTCTATTCCCCTATTCGTTCCCCTTGCCGCTTTAGCCAGCGTTTCCTCTAGCCCGCGAGACAGACCA